TATGAGAGCGATTTGTATGCAAGCTAGAGAGATTTAGATTTTGCTTGCCTAATAAGACCATGGGTATTAGTGACTGTAAACACGAGAAATTCCTGAAACAAGCGACAAGAACACGTGTACAAAATAATATTTTGTATTAATGATCTTGGGGTTACAATCTCTTTGTAATTTGGTCCTCTGATTCTATCTTCGTAGGGTGTGGGTTTGTGGATGAGTTGTTGATCCAAAGGGCCGTCTGGGCTTGATCTAAGGATGCACAGCTGATGAATGGATCTTCAAGGGGCGTTGGGCTTGATCTTGAAGGTTGATGGATGAACGGATCTTCAAGGGCTTTTGGGCTTAATCTTGAAGGATGAACGGATGTGTGGATTTGTTGAGGTTGTTGATCCAAAGGGGCCGTTGGGGCTTGATCTTAGGATGAACGGATCTTCAAGGGCTTCTGGGCTTAATCTTGAAGGTTGATGGATGAACGGATCTTCAAGGGCTTTTGGGCTTAATCTTGAAGGATGAACGGATGTGTGGATTTGTTGAGGTTGTTGATCCAAAGGGGCCGTTGGGGCTTGATCTTAGGATGAACGGATCTTCAAGGGCTTCTGGGCTTAATCTTGAAGGATGAACGGATGTGTGGATTTGTTGAGGTTGTTGATCCAAAGGGGCCGTTGGGGCTTGATCTTAGGATGAACGGATGATGAGCGATGAACACTTTCTTCAAGGGCCGTCGGGGCTTGATCTTGAGTTGGTGGAAGTTCTTCAAGGGCGTCGGGGCTTGATCTTGAAGGTTGATGGATGATGAACGATGAACGGATGTGTGGATTTGTTGATCCAAAGGGGCCGTTGGGGCTTGATCTTAGGATGAACGGATCTTCAAGGGCTTCTGGGCTTAATCTTGAAGGATGAACGGATGTGTGGATGATGAACACTTTCCTCAAGGGCCGTCGGGGCTTGATCTTGAGTTGGTGGAAGTTCTTCAAGGGCCGTCGGGGCTTGATCTTGAAGGTGGATTTGACGAAGAACGAAGATTGCTTTCTTGATCCTTCGGGATTTGCTTGAGAGCTTTAGAGTTTCAAGGCTTCTTTCTTTCTTCCTTCCTTCTTTTCTTCTTTTCCTTTCTCCTTCTCCTTCCTTCTTTTTTTTTTCTAAATGAATGCATTGGCCTCCTATTTATAGAATTTCAAAACTTGATTTTTGGATTTAAATAATCAGATGAAATAAGTCATTTCTGCCAGGTATTGACACGTGTCATATTTGATGACTTTTCCAATTTATTTCGATTTTTCGTTGAATCACACGCTACATATAAAATTTATGTGACACGTGAACATTGAAATTTTAATTATTGGTCAACATTCATTTCACCGAAATTTTGATGTCTACAAATGCCCCCACTTCAAGGCGCGTCGTAGACATGTGCTTGTCACGTGTGGAAGATGCGTTTTGAAGTCCCTTAATGTAGATGTCAACCCAAGGGCCGTCGAGGCTTGATCTTGAATTGGGCTGGAAATTTCTTCAAGAACCATCGAGGCTTGATCTTGAGCTTGACTGGAAGATTTTCTGGTTTCCTCCAATCGTTGATTTTCCGCAGGCTTAATCTTGAACTGGGCTGGAGGATTCTTTTGGTCTCCTCCGAAGGTCTGAACTTACTCCTTTTATCTGGAGTTGAATTTGATTCAAGGGTGGTGAACACTTGATTTTGAATCGGACTTGTGATTTCTTCAAGGGCCATCGAGGCTTGATCTTGAACTGGGCTGGAGGATTCTTTTGGTCTCCCCCTACCGTTGATTTTCCTTTGTGCTACTCTTGAATTGGGTAGCAGGATTCAGACACATGGCAGGCAAGCAGGAGGTGGAAGTGATGACCTGTTTCTTTGTTCAATCTTTCCCCAATTCGTATTGAAGAGGGTAGATCGGAAAACTGACTCCAAGTGCCGTCTGATTGCTCTTTTCACTTTGCCATGCGAGTAATAACAAGGACAAAGGAAAGGACATGGAGAAAGCATGATATAAGATACCTTTGCTTTTGAAGAAGCAGCGAATGAATCAGCACATATATTTGTTGTGCTTGTCTCCACATGCTTTGATGTATCATTTTCACTTGTCTTACTTGCTCCCTTTGCAGAAGTGGTATTTCCTTATGCAGGTTTGGCATCTTCTCGTGTAGTATTTGTCCTCTGATGCAGGAATGGAATGCAACCTTTGCATTTAAATGGTGCTTCAAAACATTACTTCTCCGCGACGATGAGTACTCGAGAGCAATGCAAGGTAAGCAACCAGGCAAAAGTTCCAGGCAATCAGTTCCAGGTCGGAAGTTTGATTTCAGGTTCCGACTGATAACTCTATTTCCCCTTCTCCTGCATGTAAGAGCAAGGACAAAGAAAAGGACAGGGAAAAAGCATGATATGAGATACCTTTGCTTTCGCCCTTGATGATATGAGATACTTTTGCTTTTGAAGAAGCGGTGAATGAATCAGCACATGCTTCCATCTACCGTTTCCTCCTGGGTCATCTGGTATCATCTTCGGGGAAGAGGAAAAAATTGAGTATTTTGAGATGTTTTGCTGGGAGTGTACTCTCGGAGGTGAGGAAGAGTTGGGCATTTTTTTTTTTTCGCAGGTCTGCCTTGCCATAAAAGATGAAGGTCGACATATATAGGGATTTCCCAATAGCAAGTGGTGGTACTGTTCTTTTACCCTTGTCGACAAACGTTTTGATCCCGCAAATTCGGCTTTTTGAAATAGTGACGACTCTTCGATCTTTGAATACGCCTCTTTGATTTCTGAACGACGCCTCTTCGATTTCTGAACAAGCGTCTCTTTTGACAAAGTGGCACGCGTTTTCTGAAAAGCAGAGAAAGCATCGCCGAACTTTGCGCTCGTCAGCTAAAGATGTGTAGCTGCGATGATGACCTCCACGTGATCTTTTGACAAAGTGGCACCCGTGCTCTGAAAAGCCGCGAAAGCGTCGCCAGCCTCCACGTGTTTTCAACTTTGTCGGAGATCTTTTGACAAAGTTGAACGCGTTTTCTGGAAAGCCGAGAAAGCGTCGCCTAACTTACGCCGGAAAATCCAGCTTTTGAGATTTGCAGAGCGATGTTTCTTCACTTTTGAATAAGCGGCCCTTCGATTTCTGAACCAACGCCTCTTTGATTTCTGAGCAAGCGCCTCTTCCTTTTTATAAAGGTATTGATCACCTGTAACATGCATACTTTGAAGGCTGCTCATTCCTGAAAATCATCTCCGGCCTTTTGAGTTTTAACTCCATCCACCCATCTCTTTTAACACCTTTGAAAAATGGCTAATCCATCGAACCTTAGCTTAGAATTGAGTCTCAGCAGTGATCCGGTTGCGCCGCTTCAAGGTAATGTATGGTGCCCTTCTTTCTTATCTTCTAACGGTCCTCTTACAGGTGAAGACTCCGTGATGCAGGACGCCACAACAGCTACAATAGTAGCTAGGAACCTCCTCACTCCAAAAGATAGTAGGCTGCTGTCAGGACGGTCCGATGAATTGGCCGTTCAAGAGTCCCTCGCTCTTAGTGTTCAGTGTGCGGGCTCTGTGTCCAACATGGGCCAACGCCTGCTTGCTCGGTCCCGTCAGGTGGAATCATTGATGGCAGAGGTGGAAGATCTTAAGCAGGAGATTAAACAGCTTAAGTACGAGAATAGAAGTTTGCATGTGCTTGCAAATAACTATTCGTCGGGCATGAAGAGGAAGCTTGATGAGATGCAAGAATCTCAAGGTCGAATTCAAAGCGACCGTCAAAGGCTTGCGTCTTTCTTCCAGAGGCACCTCTTTCCTGGGTCATCCAGCGTTCCACCAAGGTTTGGGGCCTTGAATGATCTATCTTCAGTGTCTCCCGCTCCGATGCCTCTTGCTCTGATACCTCCTGTTCCGAGAGTGTTGCCACGTAGTGGGGCTTCAAGTACACAACCTTTGTGAAGACTCCATCTTTCTGCCATTTTTATTTTATTTTTTTTGTAATCACTCGGAAATCAATGAACATGCTTCGTTTTATTTAGTGTATTGTGCTAAATACAGATAAAACATGTACATCACCGTCCATCATCAATTCATTTTTTTTTTCGGTGGCATTGATCCAGCATTCATTTATATATATATATATATATATTTCAGATGGTGCCAGAAGCACCACCATTACTTTTTTTTTTCTTTTTATATATATTTTTTTCTTTTTGCACATGGTTCCAGAAACACCATCATTGTTTTTATTATATATATATATATTTTTTTTCTTTTTAATTTTTTTTATTATTCTTTTAAAAGATGCTTCCCAGCATCATCATTGCTACTTTTTTTTTTTTTTTTTTTTTTTTTTTTTTTTTCTTTATATGGCCATCTGCAACCCTGAGTTCGTGGGTGAAAACCCAGGCGAGTCCGAGAGAAGACGGAGGAGGTCTTTGGGTGTGAGTTGACAAACTTTGATTTTGTCAATCACATTCAAAGGCAGCAGCAGAGGCAAGCAGACGGATGAGATTTTTGGGTGTGAGTTGACAAACTTTGATTTTGTCAATCACATTCAAAGGCAGCAGCAGAGGCACGACGCTGGGCGATGAGCAGATTCGAAAGTAGGGGAGCTTCAGCAATGGAGGGCACGGCCGTGAAGTTTGGACGGAGAGCACGAAGGCTTTGGGCGAGCTGGAGCTGCTGTTGCTGTTTGCTACAAGGGACACCGCTCACTGCGGAGGGAGCGCGCTGGAGCTTGTACCTGTGCAGCTTTCATGGCGTACATAATCTGAAGCAAGTTGCTGTCTTGTTGGTCAGAGACGAAGCTTTTGACAGAGAAGTGAAGAGGCCGCCTGTGAAGTTGTTCGAAAACAGCATCGGCTTAAAGAGCCAGCCAAAACTGTCGAAGTCAACTTCAACTTGCATTTGATGATGATTGTGGACTTCCATGCAACTGTTGCCGCTGTGCTGGTGGTGGTGTTGGACTTGCAGCGGGTAGCGTCGAAGCAAAAGAAGAGTGGGCAGGTTGCGTGGATTTGTTGCTCAGCATGCCTAAACGTGGTGCTCAACCACGTCTTGATGTCGTTGATTTTGGCGGCGGAGAGAAGCTTGTCGCCCTGATTCACATCCATGGAGGTCAGCTAGTCATTGAGCCTGTCAACCACGTCTTCAAACAGGCCCTCGCAGACGTCTAGAACTTTCTCCAGGTGGGTGTTATTGGCGATGTTCCGGCCGATTTTCGCAGGCAGCCCGGGAAGCTTCGCGGCGGCGTGAAAGGCGACCTGCAGAGAGAGCTCGTCGATTTTGCCGTAGCCCTTGAAGGACTTTACGGAGTCCATTTCTGATTTTGTGCTTTTGGTTTGCTGGGTTTGTATAATTTGCTTTCTCTTTTTGTGGTGGTCATTGATGTTTATATCTCCTCCTATGGCAGGCTTAGCAGCTTCAGCTCCGGATTGTTCCCCTGACAAAAACATGATTCCAGGTACTGCAGGAGGAACTCTCCTTTTAAGAACTGTGAGGGTAGCCTTTGTAATGGCTTCTGGAGTAGCCTTTTCCTTGTGTTCAGCCCCTGGGGTAACCATGCTGGGCTTAAGAAGGATTCCTTCGAACACCACATTGTTTTCGGCCAAGTAATAGAAAACTTCGGACCAGACCTTCTCTGCCACTTCAAGTGTCCTTTCGATTGGGTGGTCCCCGTCGAGAAGAATCTCAGGTTCTACAATGGGCACAAGACCGTTGTCCTGAGAAATGGCAGCATAACGAGCAAGTCCCCATGCAGCTTCCTTAACAGCTAGAGCAGAAGGACCACAAGGAATGCTAACAACTGTACTCCATTTAGCAAAACGAGCACCTTGCTTGTAGTACTCAGCAGATCGTGAAGCCAATCCATCTAAGCCTTGGCACCAAGATTCATTGTTTGATCCCGGCAGGGGAACCAAACCCTTGTCAACTTTGATTCCAGGTACAATTTTCTGGTCACGCAACACATCCACAAATTTCTTCCCATCGGTTGTAGACTGGTGAAGTGTTTCCTCGAAAAGAATGGCACCAGAAATGTATTCGCCGAGGCCAGGATTCTGGAATTTCGTTAGAGCCTCACTCAAATAGGGCCACGGTTGTGTGCCATCCTGTTGTGCAGTCCTCCAAGAATCACCAAAAGCTTTCTGATATTCATCCAGCACCTGGTTGAGCAGAGAAAATGTACTTCGGACAGGATAGTGATCATCCATAAAACCCAGCGCACAGAGACCATTGCTGTTGTAACAATGCACTTTATACTCTTCGTGCTTGACGGACTGGCGTTGGACGAGCAAGCCAGAGATGGGGCCACAAAGCCAGATGAAGGCGGCCCATAGCCACACCAACAAATTCTTGGGCGAAGGGATTCTTCTGAGGAAGCTCAGCTTCGGAGCGATTTTGATCCGGATCCGACATACGCGCCTTTTACGGATCGAACCCAGCTCCGTCCGGTTCTTGTGCCGTCGATGTACCTGAGGTTGTCTTTAAAGATCTGGAACCGCCGCTCCTTCTCTCTCAGGGCGTTGTACGCCTTTCGCCAGCCGCCGTTAGATTCGACGACCTCGTCGTCGCCTTCACCACCCTTGCCACATCTTCTAGCGGCGAGATGGAATTCATTCCTCCAAAGTCTCTGGCTGCATCCGTTGCGGTAGAGATAGCAAGGATAAAATCGAAAAGAATTTCTCAAGACACCCAACTCCCCGGGTCTCGCCAGTGATGATGATGATGAATCGGACGATGCCGCAACAGCAGAGCCGGCGGCGATGAAGAAAAAAATATGGGTAGAGGGAAATCGGCGGAGAGATGGGCGAAAACCTCGTCCATGTGCTTGGAAGTTTCACACCACGACGCCCAGAAGTGCAGAACCACCGGCGCGCCGCCGTGAACCAAGCTATCGAGCTCCTTCTTCGACTGCACATCCTTCACTGAGCCACCCATCGAGAATGGAGTTTGCTGAATTTGGAAACCCCAAAACCAAAAGCGAGAGAGAGAGGATGCGTTGAGATGAGAGTGGCTTTTTTCCTTCTGGTTTTGGGCTCGTAGATTGGTGACCGCATGGTGGGCCTGCAAATCTGCTTGTTGGGCTCTGCAGACTGGATATGGTGCGATTGAGTATGTGGACCAAGACATCCAGAAATGTGCACCGCAAGTTAGAAGATTGAGGTCTGAAGGGTCCAAGAGGCCATCCCAGTTGTTTGTGCCGAGAAGTAAAACATATATATATATATATATATATATATGTTTTTTTATTTATTTTTTTTTTTATTAAAAATTTTTTTTTTTTTAAATTTTTTTTTTTTATTTTATTATTATTATTTTTTTTGTTTGTTTGTTGTTTTGTTTATTTTATATATATATATATATATATATATATATATATATTTTTTTTTCTTTAAAAGAAGAAGAAGAAACTGTAATATTTTTTTTTTTTTTTTTTTTTTAATAAAGAAATTGTAATAAAATTGACTTTCTTTAATATAACATATATTTATTTTTTTTGATGTGACTGTACTTGAAGTTTTGAAGTTTCAAGTTGCCTACGTACTCTTCCAAAGAAGAGATCAAGTCATAACGTAGTTCAAATGAGTGATGGTTTTAATGATGATTTTGCCGTACACAGTTTATGCTCTTGCGGGCCAGGAGCGTGGTGCGTTTGCTTTAGGGGTAGTAGCGCTTCAAAAATCTGCCGTTGATGGGGCCGATCTTCAACCCGTCTTCCGCCATGATTAAGTAGGCGCCATTGGTGTAGATCTCTTGTATCACGTAGGGTCCATCCCACTTTGATGTGAACTTGCTTTTTGTCTTATGAGTTGTGATGATGGGCCTACGCAATGCCAGCACGAGATCTCCGGCTTGGAAAGACCTTGGGCGGATTTTCTTGTTAAATGCCTTGGATAACCGTGCTTGGTAGCATTCCAAGTGTTGTTGAGCTTCGAGCCTTTTCTCATCCAGCGCTTCCAACTCCTGAAGGCGCAACTTTGCATTTTCTTCATCAGTCAAGCCTTCTTGTATAGCCATCCTTAATGAGGGGATTTGACTTTCGAGCGGTAGAACAGCTTCTACGCCATATACAAGAGAATAAGGTGTAGCTTGGGTAGGAGTCCTATGTGTAGTCCTATATGCCCAAAGTGCTTCACTTATTCTTTCATGCCAGTCTCTCTTTGTTCGGCCGATTACCTTTTTCAGGAGGTTGCACAACGTCTTGTTGAATGCCTCTGCCAGGCCGTTGGCCGGAGCATGATACATGGAAGACTTGTGCTGCTTGAACTTGTATTTGTCGCAAAGCTCGTCCACGAGTCGGTTGGAGAACTGCTTTCCGTTGTCAGTGATAATGTAGCGAGGCACCCCATATCGGTGGATGATATGCTCCTTGATGAAACGAACAACAGTTTCCTTTTTTACTTCCCTTAAAGGTATGGCTTCAGCCCACTTGGAGAAGTAATCTGTTGCAGCTAGGATGTAAGCTTCCCCTGCAGATGACTTTGGCGTAATTGGTCCTACAACGTCCAATCCCCATGCGTCGAACGGCCATGAAGCAACTGTAGGGTGTAATGGTTCAGGCGGTTGATGTATGAAGTTGGCGTGGAACTGGCAGGCTTGGCACCTTTTGGCGTGTTCCAGGCAGTCCTTCACCATACTTGGCCAGTAGTAACCCATTCTTTTAAGCCGGAAATGTAGCTTTGGTCCAGACTGATGTGCCCCACACACACCTGAATGTGCTTCTTCCATGGCTTGATTAACTTCTTCCTCACCTAGGCATCTCAGGAGTACTCCTTCAAAAGAGCGTCGGTAGAGTGTTCCTTTGTAGTAAAGGAAGCGAGGTGCTCGTCGACGTATTTCGGAACGATGTCTAAGATCATCTGGAAGCTTTCCGTGCTCTAAGTAGTCGATCAGCGGCTGTCTCCACTCTTCAACATCGACTGAAAGTACTGAGATGACATTTGTATCATCTAGTGACATTTCATTAACGAGCGGAATCACCCACCTTTGGCAAACTGGCACGTCTGCTACTTCATCTTTTCCTAGTGTCATACTCGAGGCTAGATTGGCGAGAGCGTCTGCCATTTGATTTTCCTTTCTTGGCACATGTTCCAGTGTCACAGCTTCGAACTTTCGTAGCAGTTGGGTCGCTAGTCGGAAGTATGGGACGAGATCATCTTTCCTCACCTCATATTCAGTTAAGAGTTGATTGATTATGAGCTTGGAATCGCCATACACCTCAAGAGCTGTGATTTCCATGTTGATCGCCATTTGGAGCCCGATTATCAATGCTTGGTACTCAGCAACATTGTTGGAGCATAGCTCATTCAGTTGGAAGGAGTAAGGTAGTATTTGCCTTTGTGGCGTCATGAATACTACTCCTGCCCCCGCTCCGTCTGCTCGTGCGGATCCATCGAAGAACATCGTCCATGTCGGAAAAATATTGATGTAGAACACCTCTTCGTCAGGCAAGTCGTCTGAGATTTTCCAATCAGCCGGGATTGGATGATCGGCAAGGAAGTCTGCTAGCGCTTGTCCCTTGATGGCTTTAGCTGAGACGTAGATGATCTCATATTGATTAAGAAGCAAAGCCCATTTAGCGAGTCGCCCCGTCAAGACTGGCTTAGACATAACGTATTTGACAGGGTCGGCTTTAGCAACCAAGTGGATGGTGTAAGCATGCATGTAATGTCTGAGTTTCTGAATGGCAAACACCAAAGCGAGGCACATCTTTTCTATTGGGGAATAGTTCAACTCAGCGCCGGTGAGAGTCCGACTGAGGTAGTAAAGTGCTCCTTCTTTTTGGGATTCATTCTCTTGCGCCAAGAGTGCTCCGATTGAATTTTCCTGAGCAGCAATATACAATATGAGTGGTTTCCCGGGCACAGGTGCCCCCAGGACAGGTGGACTTGACAAATATTTCTTTATGCTTTCAAAAGCATTATGGCACGCTTTGTCCCATACGAATGGGACATCTTTCTTCATAAGGCGACTGAACGGTTGACAACGCCCTGCGAGGTTGGAAATGAAGCGTCTAATGAAGGCTAGCCGTCCTTGTAGACTTTTCAGCTCGTGCAGGTTTCTTGGCTCGGGCATGCTTTGAATGGCCTTGATCTTTGATTGGTCTACCTCAATACCACGGTGCTTGACGATGAAGCCAAGGAATTTTCCAGAGGTGACGCCAAACGCACATTTTAACGGGTTCATCTTGAGGTTGTATTTTCGCAGCCTTTCGAACACTATTCGCAGATCCTTCAAGTGGTCTGATCTTTTCTTCGTCTTAACCACCACATCATCTACGTAACATTCTACGTTCTTGTGTAGCATGTCATTGAAGATTTTCTGCATTGCGCGTTGATACGTAGCTCCAGCGTTCTTTAGGCCAAAGGGCATCACCTTGTAGCAATAGATACCTTTTGGAGTACGAAAGGCTGTTAGCTCCTCGTCTTCGAGGGCCATGCGAATTTGATTGTACCCAGAAGAACCATCCATGAATGATAATGCCTCATGGCCAGTGGTTGCATCCACCATGATTTCAATGATTGGCAAGGGGAAGTCGTCCTTTGGGCAAGCATCGTTGAGGTCCCGGAAGTCTACGCAAACACGTATTTGTCCTGATTTCTTAAGGACAATGACGATGTTGGAGATCCACTTGGGGTATTGCACTTCTCGAATAAAGCCTGCTTCGATAAGCTTGTCGATCTCGACCTCGATTTGTGGGATAAGCTCAGATCGATAGCGTCTTTGAGTTTGCTTTATCGGTCGTGTTCCAGGTCTGACCGCAAGATGATGAACAGCGATGATAGGGTCCAGGCCGGGCATTTCTTTGTAGGTCCAGGCAAAGACGTCTTTGTATTCTAACAACAACTGATAATACTTCTCTATCTCATCTGTACTTAATAATGCACTTATGAAGATAGGCTTTGGTTCCTTGCTTGTACCTAAGTTGAGTTCCTTGAGATCATCCACTGTGGCTTGCCCCCCATCTTCGAGCTGTGGTGGTGCAGCAGTGACATCTTCCTCGGGGATTTCGTCTTCTTTACCTTCTTGAACCGTGATGTGGAAAACATCTTGGATCTCCTCTTCAGTGCTGTCTTCTTGAGCTTGTTGGCATAAGGATTGTCTGGTGTGGATGATAGTACGCCTTCTCACTTTCAGTGGTCCCTTTGTGTCGACCTCCAAGATTGCTTGGCGCTTCATCCTTGAAGGAATCAAGCTTCGAACGTCATCTTTTTCTCCTAACCCATCGAGCTTTTCTTCCTTTGGTGTTGTCTTCCTCTTTCCAAAAGGCTTCTCATTATCTTCAAATTTTTCTGAAGCTGATCGTCGCAGAGGAGAGATAACTGTGCTGCTTTGTTTCTTAAGCTTTAACAACCGTTCAAAAACAAAGTTTTGGGATGTTGGCGCGTTAAGCCTCTTGAAGACAGAGGTTTGGTTTTGACCACCAATGCGATTAAACACTGACGTTCTGGAGCTTGAATGGCTCATCCTATCG